CATATATCAATGATGACGTTAGTATGACTATTATATTGAATTTTTACTGAAATTTGTATAAAAAAATACTTTATATTATATAATTTATTTTAAAAATTATATCCATGACTTTTTTTATATATGTCCATGATATACTAGTTATAAATAATTATATATTATATATATAAATCTTTCTTGAAGTCAATCGTAAAAACTCATGTGAAATATTTTTTAAAAATTTTTAATGTTGTAATTAATAAGTGCCCCTTTCTTGCTCCGCCACTGCCCATGGGGCCTACCACGAGTCCCATTTCGATAATATGAACCGTTCAATGTGTAGAACTCGTTGAGTATTATATGCCTGTAAAAAAATCACATTGATCTGATATCGATAGCTATTTCATCAGATCAGTTTTCTGTCAACCATTTATTTTTTCACCGTCTATTTTTTTTTATACAAAACTGATTTGATCAAGTAATTATCGATATCTAATCAATGCAAATGTTTATAGTGATATAGTACTTGAAGAGTTCTACAACTTGAACGGTTCGGATTATCAAAAACGGGACTTGTAGTAGATCTCTACGGGCCCAACAACACTCTCTATCCAATCTGAGACTGGAAGAAAGCCAATTCCATTCAAATAATGTCATAATTAAATATCGTGATGAGTCATAACTAATATAAGAATAATCACAATAAATTATAATCAAATACCACAAAAATTGTAACTAAGTGCATAAAATGCACACCTTTCAAGGGTTGTATATCATAGATCATAACTAAATTGATTTAATAATCATAATTTCTTTTAATTTATCATATTTATTTTTAAAAATATATTTATCGTTTAATTTTTTAAAAATAAATATAATAAATTAAAAATATTATAATAATCAGATCTAGAGCCGGCTTTACAACAAACCATTTGCATTGTGTTTGGTTAAGAGATTTAGAAAGAAAATTGGAAAGAAAAAAAATAAAAATAAAATATATTTATATTTCACTTAATTTCACAAATTTTTTCCTTTCTTTTTTTAAATCTTTTTTCAAATTACTTAACCAAACACAACAGGTCGGCCTGCTGTTGTATATGAAGGTCCCTGACTTGGGTAATAATGAAATTTTTTTATTGGTTTTATAATAAAGGCCCGTTCGACCTGTTGTTGTATATGAAGGTCCCTGACTTAGGTAATAATGAAAATCTTTTATTGTTTTTATATTAAAGGCCCATTTTAAATTATAATTATTATTTTCCTTTTGGTATTTTTATGTGGGTTTGAAAAGTGGCTATTTTTAGATTTTTTTTGGCTATTTGACTATTTTAATAGGTTATTTTAATTTTTGTGTTTAGAAAGATGGGATGAATTTTTATTTGAATTGTTGTATTGAAAAATGTATTTGAAATGATAGTGGAATGTAAAATGACCAAACTGCCCGTACAAAAAGTTCAAAAATGGTGAAACATGAGAGTTAGAAAAGAAGATGAACTCAAAACAGATATTTTCAGCTTTTGGCTGTTATTTATAGAGCAGTCGGATTGCAGGGGTGAACAACAGGTCGCGGGTGCGACCTTCACCACCTTAGGCACAACCAATACCCTCACGGGTGCGACCTTCACAACCGCGGCCCACCTCGTGGGCCACACACTTTCTTCCAATACAACAGACCCGACGACACACTTTGGTCGTGGCCTGGTTGCAGCCCATTGCGGGCGAGACCACCAAACACACACACACCGTGGGCGTGATTAGGGAGACCGCGGCCTACCAGCCAAACAGGACAGGTTGCTCACTGGTTCCTGGGTTAAATGCTAAGGTTCCGAGCCATAGTCGAGATTCAACACAAAATAATGCAACCCACAACAAGCATTAACCCAAACAAAAGAACAAGAAAGGTTAGGTTTTAACTCGGACCGCTACATATGTCACATCAGATATTTTTCATTATTATTAAATTTATTCAATTTTAGCCATCAACTATGCCACATGTAACATTTAAAGAAAAACATATCTATTTTACTATATAGATTTTTTTTATACTCAATTAGATTTTCAATCTAAACCCTCAACTATGTTCTCTAAAATAATTTTCAAAAATTGATCTGTTTTATTATATAAAAATCCCTTCGGTACACACTTCCTATAAGGTGTGTATCATAGCACATTGTTACGCATTTTGCTTGTATGTGTTATACATTTTTGTGACAAATATTACATAATTTTTTGATAGATAAACAAAAATTTGTGGTTCAAAGTCAAACATTTTTGTTTAATGTTATGCAATTTTGAGGTTAAACAATGTTTCGATGAAAAAATGTGTAAACATTATCACAAAATACGTAATTTAATTTCTAAATCACAAATTGTTATAACTCTACCAAAATAATCCTCTTCAATTGTCAAAAATAATCCTTTTCTTCTTATCACTACAAGAATTAACACTTTTGGCAACAAAAAAATTGGTCGCTAAAAGTCAATTTTTGGTCGGCAAAAGTTATCCGCGACCAATTTTTTTGGTCGCTACTTTGGTTGCCAATTGAGGGTCGGCAAAAGTAATTCGCGACCAAAATTTTGGTTGGTCGGCAAAAGTTGGATTTGCCGACTAAATTTTTGGTCGCTAAATATTTAATTACCGCGACTAATTCATTTTGTCGCTAAAACACTTTGGTCGCGAAAAGTGATATTTTCCCGACCAAATTTCTTAGTTGACAATTGTCACATTTCGCGACCAAAAAATTTGGTCGCCATTTGTTACTTTTCGCGACCAAAATTTTTGGTTAGCAAAAGTGAGTTTCCACGACCAAGAGCTGTTTTGGTCGGCAATAGATGTACTTTTTGCGACCAAAACTCTTGGTCGGCAATTGTCATTTTTTGCGAAAAAAAATTATTTATTTGTCGCGACTAATAAATTGGTCGCCAAAGCCGGAAAACAATACACTTGTAATTCCTAATAATTCATTCAATCCATAACAAACCTATAATTTTAAAGTATCATTCAAATTAACTGAATCATTAACATTCGACACAATACAACTATTCTAAGTTTTCATTCACAAGTCACATCCATCTAGCATAACAATTTGAAACAATACATAATTCAGATTTACAGCATCAGGAAAATTGCTTAATCCACTAAGTTGCCTTGATAGCCAATCAAAAAGATCCTTGCGCCCTTCCGTGCCAAGCTTCGCATCCATCAAAGCAGTAGTGATGTAAGGCACCTAATAAAGAAACATAATTGGAAAATTTATCAGAGAAGCATGATAAATATATAAAATTAATTAATGCATAAACGAAATGGAGAAATTGGAACCCAACCATTCTGTCGAGATGAACAGCAGCAAGCCAAGCATCTAAAGTAGTCAGAGTGCTTTCTCTCATATGTTTTTTAATGTCACCAAGGCATTTCAAAACATCTGACAGTATACACTTATTGGTTTTTCCTGTATCCCCTCCACCTGACAGGTTGATTTCCTGTATCCCTTCCACCTGCTCTTTAAGTGAGACAATGGTTGCAACAACAATAGTCGATGGACAATGCTCTTTACGTATGTGAATGTATTATAAATTTCTCACCTTTATTGGTTTTTCAAAACAATAGTCGAGGCAGGTTTTCTGGTACAGTACAGAACTCTCTGTGCCCATTTGGACTACCAGATGAGGTTCTACTGGTTCTGATCGATTCCCCTCTCCACATTGATCAACAAAAGAGAGATAATACCGGGAGCTGTTTGGTCTCACACAACCTTTTTTAACTTCTCTGCAGCAACTCTTAAAGACTTCCATGGGTGGACAATACCGCTGACCAGGAACCTGTTTAAAATGAATGTGAGGAAATTCCAATCAAATTACATAAACCAAAGCAGATAACCAAGCTTAAATTCAAAAATATTATGATTGACTCATGAACACTATTAAATGATCTTAGGTATCACATAACAATTCAAGCTATCCCACTTGAAATTAATAAGAAAATGGCAAGAGCACAAAAGTTGTGCCACTTTCAATATAATGCATTCTCCAAGTCAATTTTTACAATATAGAAAATCATCAATAAAGAGCTGAAAACCCAAGCCATGGTTAACTCTCAATAAAAAATTAGAAAATCTAGAGAATCAAGATTTTTTTTATAAGCATTACTAGTAGCATTTTAACATATATACATACATATATAAACAACAAACCCAAGGAACATGGTGAAGTCTTTATGTTGACCATCTTCATTGAGTTATTTTTGGGATTTCCAGCATCCTATATTTTGGGATTTCTAGCTAGATGCACTTCTAATTTAGTATATCATTTACTTTCTCAAAAGTGTGGAATGCACTTACCTCTTGTAACTCTGAGACCACAAAGAAGACAGCCAGTGTTAACCGTGTCAGAAAGTGTATTCTCCCAGTACCCTACATAGCGCCGTTGGCTTGGTATTGAGACCTGTCCAATACATGCAGATCAATGAACTTCTAAACAAAATACTCATAACTACCGAAAGTCAAGGCTGGCTAATGAATCCAATACCATCCTTTAAGATGTTCAATTTATTAACGTATAGATAGTTCAATATTAAGTAGCCCTAACCAAGCCAAGGTTTCTTGGTTTGATTCTGCTACTTGCCCACCTAAACCAAACCGACCCATACACGTCCCTATTCCTTAGTGAAGCAATTTGTAAACTGAAAATGTGCAAACTGCTAAATTGCATTTCGTTGTCATTTACTTCACAAAATCCTACATGATAGCCTGTTATACATAATATGACTTACTCCTTCATTATTGGTAGTCCGCTTATGTCATACACTTGAAGAGCCTCCTCAGAATCCCAGCTTTGGCGCCATATGTATTCCAAATTCGTAGAGAAAGCCAATTCCTTTTTCAACTCATAATGGGTCCTCTGTATAAGCATGTTCTCAAAGCCCATGCGACGGAGAAGATATGCCATGGTAGATGAATAACCAAACGGAAAATTAAGATTCTATGCACATGACAAATAGGAAACATCATCCGATTTCACATTCTGACATGGGTTATCAAATTTCCATGGAAGGCTCAATTTTCCATCAGAAGGGTAGAAGCACGAAGGTGCCCAAAAATGTTAGGAAAGATGATGTACTTAGTAACAAGGATTAAAAACCTTTGGTGAGACTACATACCAAGCACAAGTTTAAAAAAAAAATAAAAAAAATATATCTCAACGTCAAATGCTCGTATACCACTTAAAAGCTTGTTTGGTATGTAAAGCAATCTACAATTCATATACTCGTCATATACTCGTATAGGGGACAATCAGACCAACATAATCATTTCTATTAATAATCTCCTCATGCAAAGCAATCTACATAGCCTACTTCAGTTAAAAGCACCATAAGGCCTTAGATCAAAAAACTATATGTAGATTGTTCAATGCATTAACTACTCAATTTAGATACCAAAAATTTTATGTCTATACAAAACCTATGAAGAGGGAGTTCAATACCTGTTCAATGATAGCAAAATAATGTGAATTAGCCTGCAAAAAGTTGTCTCAAATTTAGTAAGTCAAGCTTGTTCAATATACAATTGCCTAACAATCCTGAGAGAACAAATGAAAGATCAGTTCCTTTAGCCCTTGGCATAAGTCTAAGATTATGTAAATAACTTCATTTAATCTTAGTATTATGATTTTCAGATGTATAATTCTAGTCAGAGACAAAGACATTGAATAAAGTTTTCATAAATTGCAGTCAAAGCACTAGGAGTTAGTACATCAGAGAAAGAACATAGCACAATAGTGGCAATTTTTTAGTGCCCCACAAGCATGGCAATGCACATTCTCTGATTGATTTGAAGATGGTGATGAATTAGCTTGCACAAAACAATAGCCAATAGAACTGCATTTCATGAAATTGCATTCAAACCCACACCCTAAATAAATTTATAAGGAAGCCCAGAGGTGAAACACGCAAGTTCAAACTATCCACATGTTTGCGGATTTTACCTCATCATTCATCACCCACCCACCTCCAACAATTTCTAACTGTGCATTCTTCACTAGATTGATGAAAGATTCTTTTTTAGTTTCTGAGGCATCCTTCCACCATCTCTCCAAATAAGACATCTCCTCCCATATAAATTTGCAGCGAGGATCCTGCAAATCCAAGTTCAAAGAATGTTAATTAGTATAGCATTCAACATTAATAACTTTTTGCCATAGACTAGGCAAAGATAATATCAATAAACTAGCAATCCAACCCCAATTAAGTTCAAGGCAATTGACACACACCATAATTGAGAGAGAGAGAGAGAGAGAGAGAACCTGTTAGTGAGCGTTTCACTTCTTAGGTTCATTAGTAGTTTTCAAAGCCAACAAGTATGCATATTTTCTCATCCAATAAACTAAATGCTTGAGTCCCCAAAAAATCATTTGTTAAACTACTAGATTGAACATTCTTGAGAGAGAGAGCATTTGGTAACGGAAACCTGCTAGTGAGCCTCTCACTTTTTAGTTCCATTAGTAGTTTTCAAAGCCAACAAGTATGCATATTTTCTCATCCAATAAACTAAATGCTTGAGTCCCCAAAAAATCATTTGTTAAACTACTAGATTGAACATTCTTGAGAGAGAGAGCATTTGGTAACGGAAACCTGCTAGTGAGCCTCTCACTTTTTAGTTCCATTAGTAGTTTTCAAAGCCAACAAGTATGCATATTTTCTCATCCAATAAACTAAATGCTTGAGTCCCCAAAAAATCATTTGTTAAACTACTAGATTGAACATTCTTGAGAGAGAGAGCATTTGGTAACGGAAACCTGCTAGTGAGCCTCTCACTTTTTAGTTCCATTAGTAGTTTTCAAAGCCAACAAGTATGCATATTTTCTCATCCAATAAACTAAATGCTTGAGTCCCCAAAAAATCATTTGTTAAACTACTAGATTGAACATTCTTGAGAGAGAGAGCATTTGGTAACGGAAACCTGCTAGTGAGCCTCTCACTTTTTAGTTCCATTAGTAGTTTTCAAAGCCAACAAGTATGCATATTTTCTCATCCAATAAACTAAATGCTTGAGTCCCCAAAAAATCATTTGTTAAACTACTAGATTGAACATTCTTGAGAGAGAGAGCATTTGGTAACGGAAACCTGCTAGTGAGCCTCTCACTTTTTAGTTCCATTAGTAGTTTTCAAAGCCAACAAGTATGCATATTTTCTCATCCAATAAACTAAATGCTTGAGTCCCCAAAAAATCATTTGTTAAACTACTAGATTGAACATTCTTGAGAGAGAGAGCATTTGGTAACGGAAACCTGCTAGTGAGCCTCTCACTTTTTAGTTCCATTAGTAGTTTTCAAAGCCAACAAGTTTGCATATATTTTCTCATCCAATAAACTAAATGCCTGAGTATCTAAAAAATCATTTGTGAAATTACTCTACTATATATTACAGACTTTTTTTTCATCACTTACATCCAATTCACTTGGTCCAATAATTGATGAAATATATAATTTGTCAAAATTCAACCAAAAATGTGAATTTGTGTGGACGTATCTTATTCCGTAATGAATGCCATTAGATTCTTTTGCATGAAGTATAATTTTTTTCTCAGTAAGTTTACCGGCACTATAGTTAAGCTAGATCGAAAGCAGAATCATTGTTCATCAATAATCAAGATCAGTAAAACCCAACAAAATTAAGATCAAGCAACTAGTACTAACTAATTAAACTCAGTTTACAAACAGAACCCAACTGAATTCAGATCAAGGAACAACATTTCAAACCCCAAAATTAAACCCAGATCACCTTCGAAAGAGCCTCGACGATGGTATCAAGAATATGCCTCGACTGTCGATCATAATACTCCTCAACAGTGAGCTTCCAACCCGGGTCATTATGCGAATGAGGGACCACAAAAACCTTCAAGGTCTCCGAATCCCACTCGTTCCCTTCGTATCTCACCCTCCAACCCTGCTTCCACGGCCCAGAA